TAGAACACGTTACCACTAAAAGCGATTACCGATTTTTTGCTGGGTAAGGTCTGATTTGAGCCTTGTAGTTAGTTGAGCACCCAGTACTGATGCACAGAGCTCAAGCCGAGGAATAGTTTGCCGTTTCAAGGGTGCCACACGAGATTTTGCACAGAGCAGCCTCACTTGTACTCGTCCCTCATCCAGCTCGGATCTAATGTAAATCGCAGCACCATATGCCTTTTCTGATGCGTCGGAGAAGACATGAATTTGAATTTTTGCTGGGATGTATCCTTCAAATACGTGCCGTGAAACTTGCATGTTGTCCAATTTTTGCAAATCATTTCGAAATGTTGTCCATCTCTCATTCAAATCGGCTGGTAATACTTCATCCCATGTCAGCTTCAGTTGCCAGAGATCTTGAATAAACATTTTTGCCATGACTACAATTGGTGCTAGTATCCCCAACGGATCGAAGAGCCTTGCAAGATCGCAAGACTGCAGCTTCCTAGGCATACCTTTACGCAGAATCGATCCATCTTAGGCATCCATGTTAACCCCAACTTCTTGTTCCTCCATTCTAACATTTTGCAGTAATTGTGAGTGATTGGCGCACCATTTTCTTAGTTTAAGACCACGTTGTTTTAAGATGTGTATCAGTTGCTGTTGGATTTCCATCGTCGTGGTTAAGCTGTCTGACCCACCAATTCCGTCATCTACATAAAAATTGTCCTGTAGAAACTGAGCACCAAGAGGATATTGTAATGCATTTTCTTTTGCAATTTTCTGCAAACATTTGGTGGCTAAATATGGAGCAGATCTTGTCCCATATGTGATTGTATTTAGCTGATAATGCTTTATTGGTAGGCTTGAATCCTTTCGCCAGATGATAAGTTGGAATTTGCGTTCGTCCGGTTGAATGAGCATCTGTCGATACATTTTTTCTACATCTGTGGTGAAGACGAACCTGGGCAAACGGAGGCGAAGTAAAATGGTTAAAAGCTCGCTCTGAACAGTGGGTCCGGTATACATGAGGTCGTGCAAAGACATGCCAGTGGACGATTTTGCTGATGCGTCGAACACCACACATAATTTTGTAGTGCGGCTTTCGGGTCTCACAATGCAATGGTGAGGAATGAAGTACCTAGGTTTACTGATGGAATCAATATCCACTTGCGTCATGTGCCCCAAATTCTCATATTCCTCCATAAATTGTACATATTGATTTTTTGTCTGGAGCGATTTTGCCAGTCGACGTTCTAAGGCCAGGAATCGATTATACGCCATCCCATAGGATTCCCCTAAGGCCTCCGGATTTTCATGAAATGGTAGCCTTACCATGAATCTCCCATTTTCATTGATGAGTGTATGTTGTGCGAAATGAGCTTCGCACTGTTTTTCTGCTACGGAATGTTGTTTTCTTACAGTTGCAACGTCCTCAAGTTCCCATAATCGAAAAATTGCTGCATCTAAGTTGATGTCATCGTTGGTACAGATTCCACATATTGCATTTGAGATGTAGTTGCCACCAACTTTTCTCGCGATGATCCATCCCAGCACTGTATTTTGCAGAATGGGTAGGTCATCTGACAGTTTGATTTGCCCTGCTGCCATCAGTTGGTTGTAGAATTCCGCCCCCAACAATATATCAATTTTGTCAGGACGATTGAATGATGGATCGGCTAACATGATGTTCTCAGGAATTTGCCATTCGTCGATCTTGATTTCTTGCGACGGCTGCGGGGATATAATCTGAGGCAATACCGCTGCCTCTAACCGCGTTGTAAAGTTGTTGATCCGAGACTGTAGCACCACATTGATTCGATGCTGTATCTTAGTGCTCCTTGACCCGATGCCACTAATGGAGATTGATGATGTTTTAGTTGAGATGCCAAGACGTTTAACCAATCGTTCAGTCACAAATATAACTTGTGAGCCTGAATCGAGAATTGCCCGACACTGCACTTCTGTTCCGATTCCTCTAACTTTCACCATGGCAGTGCTGAGTAGTACATACGTGTTTGACTTTGTGTGCTTTGCGGTGGTAAGTGACGCTGCTTCGTCTTTTGATGGCGTTGATTTGGTCCTGGATGGTGTAGTACTTTGCGATTCGTTGCCTTGTGTCGGAGGGGCTACTGATGTAAGGTCTTTGCTCACATCCCTTTTTGAATCCTCGAAATGTAACAGCGTGTTGTGTTTTTTGTTGCATTTCAGACAGTTTCTTAATATACAATTTTTAGAACCATGTCCTGGTTTTAGGCAATTGTGGCAATATTTCTGCCCTTGTATGAACTGAAAGCGTGCCGATGGAGACTGTTGTAAAAATTCCTTGCAAGAAAATAATGGATGTTTTCCTTTTTTGCACATGCTGCAAGTGTCATTTCTATGACCTTTGGATGTGACTGAAGTGCACACCTATGCAGTTGAGCTTGTACATTTGTGTTTGACACCCATCGCTTCCATGGATTGAAAGTGTTTCTCCAGAAATTGCAGGAATTCCTTGAGTGTTTGTACCTCCCGTGGCTTTGATAATGATTGTTCGTACCGCAAACGAGTCGGTTGATCCAGTTTCTTTAGTAGAAGGGGGAGCAGAAGTGGATCCCATGTTGATGTGTCTATCTGCAAATTTTGCAATGCTAATAGACATTCTTGTGTTGTGTCATGCAGTTTTTTGACATTGTCCATTGATGTGCTTCCAGGTGTAGTAGTTAGCTCATGTACTAACTTGCTCACCATCCAGCGTTTGTTGTTGTAACGCTCCAGAAGCATGAACCAAGCTGCATCAAAATTCTCTCCTGTTGATGCGAAATGTTTAATTAGATTTCCAGCCTCCCCCACTAAGTGAGTTTTCAAGTACCACATTTTCTGAACTTTTGAAAGAGGTTGATTTATTACCAGTTGCGAGAATAGGTCATGAAATTCTTGCCATTTTAAATAGGTGCCATCGAATTTTGGAATTATTATCTTCGGCAATGAAAAGGATTGCAGTTTAATCGGAAGTTGGTTTGAAGATTGCTCAGTATGGGAGTCACTATTTGCTGCTTGCAAAGTACTCCATACCTTTTCCTCAAGTGAAATGAAGTTATCGACCTTGTAGCCCTGCTCGGTTGGGTTGTCGAACATCTCATATATCCTGAAGTGAATGTCTTCTATATTTTCCCACAGTTTATTAATTGTTGGAACACATTGTGGTGAAACGTTGTCGTTCAGTAACCGTCGCAACGAGGCCCTCATTACCCCTTGTCTGCGAACTAGTTTAGTGTACTCGTTGGAAGCTGCCTGTTTGGTTCCAGTATCAAGCCGTGCTTCTGTGTTGACTTATGAAGCTGAAGCATCATGTTGGTACGTACTTCCTTCATCAGTTGTTAAGCGCAATTCTCTCGTCGGGGTTTGAGACAATTGGAGCACTGCGGACTCGAAAATCTCCTTGTACTGATTTACAATTTCCATTATATTGTTATAGTAGTCCTTTGTAAAGTAGTCGTGATCCAGCTGGGGGTTTTCAAGTAGTCGAAGTTTGTTGTCAGTTGTTTCCAACTTCGACCACTCGCTGTCCAGTCTTCTCAATCGCTCTTCGTAATAGCTGATTGACTGCTTCCTGGATTGCGGGTCCTTTTTAAAGTTTCGGACAATTTATTCGATATTGCCGCCCGTTTCTCTTTGTTGTCTGGCCAAATCCTCGAAACGATCCATTTTTCTTCTTTTAGATTAGTTTTGTGGCTCCTTAAACTGCTGCACTGGCTTTGTTTAAGCTGAATGTCCTTTCCCAGGGGTCACCAGAATGTTCAAAATAATAGCGATTACGCCAAGTTCGAACCCTGTTGTTTGCTTGATTGCTTTCAAGTGATCTTTATTGAATTCATGATTACGTTTTTATACAAACTAAATGCTTACGTAGTAAATAATAAGGGCATAAAAACTTTGGATGGTAAGCAAAATTATTGTACAGGCTTTATTCCCACGTTTTGGTTTACATAAGCATAATTAATGCAAATTCTTTATTCCCACGTTTTTGTTGACATAAGCATATTCCACATTTTGCGTCTACTTTCATTTGCGTGCATTAATCAACAATGTCTTATATGCAACTTGACACATGATAAATTATTTGGTTATAAGAATACACTAAAAGGCATAAAGTGCAAGCTACGCATAAAAGAATGCAAGCGAAAATTAATACCCTGTTGAATAAAGCCAATGCCAATATGTCGACTTTTCTTATTTAATAACAATATGTATGTTTTAACAACTAAGGAAAGAATCAGTTGATCTCACAACTTGGCAAGTCCAAGTCCTTTTCAAAAGTCTGTCAAACTCAAGAATTTACAAACGAGATTGCAGGAGCAGTTACACCGTTACATGTAAAGTGGCTCAATCAAAAGTGGTAAAATCAAACTTTCAGATACTACTTTTTGTCTGATACCAGACATTTGTATACCTATAACTAGGGCCCGGATCTCTATGCATTTGCATATTTTTTGGTAAGTCATAGGATCTTAAAGATTGTGTTAAGATGTTAGTGTTAGCGATTTGTTAGTGCATATTCTTACATATTTTGCCTTAAATGCATATGTATATAGGCATATTTTATCAAAAGAGCACATTTAATTGCATTTTTTATTAAACGCCGTTTGTATAGAATGGACCAGGGATGTTGCGAACGTGAAATTTTAGACACCCGCGGATGCGAATGCGGATGCGGATGTTTAAACGCTAACATCCGCGGATGCGGATGTCAAGTATTTTTATACCCGAGCGTACTTGTAAGCAAGGGTATTATAACTTTGTTCACATAACGGTTGTTTGTAACAGGCAAAACGAATCGAGATAGATATAGACAAATGTATACATAAATGATCAGAATGAAAAGAGTAACCGTCTGTGCACATGATAACTCGAGTACAAATTGAGATATCTTAACGAAACTTGGTATGTGTACTTCTTTTGATGGTATTGAAAATGGGCAAAATCGGATAATAACCACGCCTACCTTCCATATAACGGTAGTTTTCAGAAATACGAAAACTGAGATATTTTTTTGTAACTATTGAAGCTTACTCACTCAAAATTGATATGTACAATCATTTTTAGGCGAAAAATAAGAATATTATAAATGTTTGGAAAATGGGCGTAGGCACGCCCACTTATGATTACTTGGGAACTGCTCCACCAATTTCTCCCAAACTTGGCCTTGGTACAGCATACTAAACGGCTGAAAATTTAAAAAATCGGATAATAACGACACCCACATCCCCGATAACGGTAGTTTAGAGAAATACGAAAGCTTCGATAAATCAGTAAATACTGAAGCTAATTTATTCAAAACTGATGTTTGCAATAATTCTATAGNTAAACGGCTAAAAATTTAAAAAATCGGATAATAACGACACCCACATCCCCGATAACGGTAGTTTAGAGAAATACGAAAGCTTCGATAAATCAGTAAATACTGAAGCTAATTTATTCAAAACTGATGTTTGCAATAATTCTATAGCAAAAAGTACGCTAATAATAAAATGTAGGAAAATGGGCGGGACCCCGCCCACTTATGACCACATATGTGTATCTCGGTAACCGTTCGATCAATGCGTGCCAAACTCAGTATGATTATTGTGGTTGCCCCATAAAGGCAAAACGTTGAAAGTTATTGAAATCTGACTAAAATTACGACCACCTTTTTATAACGCTAATTTTACCCAAAATTGATACTAACAACAATCCTTTGAAAAGAAGTAACATTATTATGGAATTTTGGAAAATGGGCGTGATGCCGCCCACATATATCTACATAAGTTTATCTCATTGTGTCTAAATGAACGTTCCATCGAAGATGTTTGAAATAGATGTAAAACCACCACTGCTTACCATGTAGCGGTAGGTAAAAAAACTAAAGCCCGAACTTAGACTTTTTTACTTGTTAGGAAATAATTTAGGAGAGTAAATTAGGTGAGTTAGTTAAATAAAAAATGTAAAGGTTAGTAATTTTTAATAAGGTATTTTTAGTACTTGATTTTAAAAATTGGAACATTGTATTCAATAAAAAGTTTTTAAGTGGTCGTAAATCAAACCTGCGCCACTAAATAACTACTCGCTCGCTGCGAAAAACTTGAAAAACTTCAAACTTGACAAAATTGTAAATTCTTTTCGATTGACGCTGCTCCAGTCGAGAGGACTTTCAGTTATATATATATTTTTTTTATTGCGGTGCAATAATTCGTTTTTGGGAATTGCATCGGCACAAATGTCGGATGTATCCTCCTGACTTTCATCTTCACAAAAAATTTCTTGAAAAACTTCAAACTTGACAAAATTGTAAATTCTTTTCGATTGAAGCTCGGAACACTTTGACGACTGCAACTTCACGACGTAACGACAGCGACATCATTTTGTCGACAAATGTCGCCTTGAAGCCAGCTTCTTAAACATTTTGAAGACCTCAGCGACATAGCAAACAGCTGATTTTAAAGTTTGACATTTTGGTATATTTATTTCACAAATTGTGTATTTTTATTTAAGTAAATAAGAAAAACATGAACAATCAAGAATATGTGATTAATTTTGCGACAATTTAATGTTGCAGCACTACATCTACTCATTGTCGCCGGCAAAATTAGAAATAGATTTAATTTGGCGACGTCGACAATTGCAGTCCTGCAGCCAAGATGTCGTGCTGTCGTCAAAATAATTGTGTCCGTAAGAACGTGTGTATTTAAAATTTGACAGATGCTGCTTGTCGCTTGCTGTCGTCAAAGTGTTCCGAGCTTGACGCTGCACCAGTCGAGAGGACTTTCAGTTATATTTTTTTTTTTGTATTGCGGTGCAATAATTCGTTTTTGGGAATTGCATCGGTCGCAAATGTCGGATATATCCTCCTGACTTTCATCTTCACAATCTAGTATCATGGCAAGATCGTTGTTTAAACACCAACCAAAAAATTCTTCATTCTCATTCTTTTGGTTGTTTCTGAATGTGGAGAACAAGTAACATCAACAGCG